CCGGGCCTCGCCTGCCCACTCGACGCGGGACCCCCCACCCCCCCACCCCCCAGGTTCGTGTTTCCGGGAAGCAAGGATGGAGAGCTGGCGGGGCCTCTTCTGTCTCGCGTGCCTGTGTTTGCTGACGCCCGCGCGAGGTAAGGGACGCTCTGCTCCGGGACGGTGCGAGTTTGCACCCGTCGCTTGGGAAAGGCCGTAGCTGGTGGCACCTGTAGCGAAAGGAGACGGAGGAGGCTGGCTGGGAGGGGCTGAGAAGGCCCAGGGGTCTGTCCCGGGCCTGGGAATTGAGCGCAGACGCGGAGGATGTGGGCCCAGAGCGCTGGGGAGCCAGCGGCTCCCTGGTTTGGCTCCCGGGCTGCGCCACGCGCGGAAAAAGTGACCCGTGTTCCCGGCGCGCTGGGGTGTTGGGGAAAAAGCCGTGTTTCCTATTTAAAAGATCGGTTCTGATGACAGCGCAGGTGGCGGTGGACTTGGCTGGGTGGGAAGGTTCACCCAAGATTGGGTTTGCTGGAAAGGCAGCCCCTGTGCGGACGGTTAAACGTCCCTCATGAATGTCGCCCTGCGTGGCGGCTAGTTAAAAACGCATCCGAACTGTCTACGCCCGAACTTCCATGCAGCCTCTTCCCCCGGATGTCAGGACGCTGGGTTGCTGGGGAAGCAGGGGAAGGAGGAGGAGGCTGGGGAGGGACCTCGTCGAGAAAGCGCGATTAACCCGTGAAGTGTAAGATTCAACTGCAATCGGAGAAGCAAGCTTGATGCGTTTAGTTTAGTTTTGTTTTTTTTTTCAATTGAGTTGGGTGATTTCAATATTCAAATTCCAAGGGCTAGGAGACCGGGTGGGGTTTAAGAAGGAGACGTGCTGGAGATTAGGGTGTGAGAAGGTTTTGTTTGGATGTCAGCCTTGTAGTATTTCCTGTTTGTCCAGTTTATGGATACGGAGCTGCTTCTTCACGGGCAGATGTGGGTTTGTTGTTTTGTTTTAAAGGATATCTGTCATTAATTTTGGGGGGGGGTTGAGGTAATTAGGTTTATGTATTTACTTTTAATGGCAGGGCTAGGCATTGAACCCAGGACCTCATGTACCCTAAGCACATGCTCTACCACTGAGCTATATCCTCCCCCACCCCCTTTATTTTTAAAAATTGAAGTATAGTCCATTTACACTGTGTCGATTCCTGGTGCGCAGCACAGGGGCGGATGTGGTTTTGTGACAGGTCCTGGGCTTTCGGGGTCTTCCCTGACACCCTTCTGTTCACCCTCATCCTCTGTGCGTCTTACCGGATGCGGGTCACGCAGAAACGCACCCAGGAGCTCCCTGTCAGTCCCTGAACTCACCCCAGGGCTGAAGGAAGAGGGCAGAGCTCTGGTTTTATACCCACTTGCGCAGCTGCCAAACCAGCAAAACACGTCTGAGTGACGACCGTGGGCTCACCTCCTGCCTCCGGCAGCCCAGCCCCCTACGATGCACAGTCCAGTTGATCCTTTTGGAATAATTCAGCAAGACATGTGGTTCATCATACGTCTGTGGGAAACGCCACAGTGGATTTTTTTTTTTAAATTGAAGTACAGTCGATGACAATGTGTCCATTTCTGGTGTACAGGACAGTGTTGTGGATTTAAGTGACATTGTTCTCATGACAGAAGAAAATGGAGGAACCGGCACTGGCTGAACCTGGCCAAGCCCTTTGCAGGATGTTCGGGGTTTTGATGGATGTGTTTTAATGGCAGCGTCACTTCCGCTCGGCGGGTACGATCTGGGCTGATTCTCACACAGCCCTGGCATGGGGGTGCCGTAGCTGAGGGTCAGTCATTTCCTTGAGGTCTTAATGATGGTGAAACAAGAGGGCGGGGTAGGTCTGAAGAGGAACGAGAAAGTAAGCGAGGTCTGGGTCAGGGTGATTCAGTGTAGGTCAGTTGTGCAGGGAACAGCCGGGTGGGCCTTGAGTCCTGGGTAATTCGTTAAACACACAGACAGCCCCCTCCCCACAAGTCCCCGCCCCCCCTTAGCTGTAGTACTGAGCAGACCCACGAGGTCCCAGACACATTCCACGAGGCTGTCGAGATGATTGTCACCAAGGCTTCAGAAAAACAGACTCCCGTCACGTAACTTGTCCGCCCAATGATCAAATTGTGCGTAGAACATAAAATAACAACAGTGAGCTTAGATTCCTGATTTGACAATTGGGCGGTTTCAACTTCCCACGGTGTGGCGGTGGCGGTGGCGGTGGCGGTGGCGGTGGCGGTGGTCTGTTCTGTGGGTCCCCACCCAAGCGATGCTCCTCGCCCAACAGGTGCAGAAGAAGTGACACCCCCTGGGTAGAGATGCTGCAGCCAGCCTGGCTCCACCTGGGGACCACTTTGTCCCCCAGGGCACACTTGGCCGTGTCTGGAGTCACTGGGAGGTGGGGCGGTGGGGGGTTGCTTTTGTCAAATGGGTGGAGACCAGGAGAAGTGCTCAAAGTTCTGTGATGTACGGGAGGCCCTATGCAGCAAAGAGTCAGCCAACCCCCAATGCTAATTCTGCTGAGGTCGGAAATCCTGCCTTAGCACGAGAGACTATCTGTATCTGTGTATCTCTCTGTATGTCTTTGTAGGTATGTGTGTAATTATTATCTGTCCTCTACTTATGTATCTAAATATCTACCTATCTATCTATTCATTCTATCTATCCATCCATCCATCCAACCATCCATCCATGTATTTATCCATCTAATCTATCTATCCATTCATGCATCCATCCATCCATCCATCCATGTATTTATCTGTCTAATCTATCTATCTATCTATCTATCTATCTATCTATCTATCTATCTATCTATCTATCTATCCATCCATCCATCCATCTATCCATCCATCCATCCATCTATCCATCCATCCATCTATCCATCCATCCATCCATCCATCCATCCATCCCATGGACTTAGAAATGCAGGCAGGATTTAACCTGCAGTCTTGAGCCAGAATCCATCCTTCTCCGGGAAACCTCCGTCTTTGCTTTAAAGGCCTTCGACAGATCAGACCAGGCCCACCCATGTTATCCGGGACAATCTGCTTTATCGGCAGTCCACAGATTGTGGATGTTAATCCCATCAACGAACTACCATCACGGTGACCTCTAGACTTGTGTTTGACTGAACTGGACCCTGTGGCCCCATGGAGGGGACACATAAAATTCACCATACGGTATGATTTCATGTTTCCACTTTGGTTGCCTGAGAGACAATTTTAAGGAGGGCTCCAGGCCCACGCCTGTGTGTCCTCAGAAGTATGTCCACGTTTGCTGCGGTCGTGGGACCGGGTGGGCAGACCCAGCACTATTAAATGTTTTCCCTGCCCCAGGTCCCCTAGTACCGCAAGTTGCCCCCTGGAAGGGGGTGCCTTTGCGGTCTTCCTTGGAGCAAATCATTCTCAAGATAAAAAACAAAAATAGATATCACCCAAAAGCACACTCTCCTAGAATTAGAGGAATGCCTTATGAGTTTTCTATAAATGTTTTCCTCCAAAATTGTTCTTTGCTTATCATCCTTGGCAATAACACACGACGTAGAGGAAATGTGGAAACACCAGGGAGGTGGCTGGGAACGTTGGATGGGCGTCAGGATTACCGGGCGGATGGGGCACAAATGCAGAGTCCCAGGCCCCTGTGTCTTCTAGGGCTCCAGGTGAAGACGACAGCAAAGTCGCCATCTTCAGGGGTCTCTCGGGAAGCAGCTCCCTCCTGCGGCCATCTGCGGCCCCTCTGAAAGGGGGGTTTCCTTCCAAAAGAGAGCAGAGCTGTCCCCATCCTAAGGCCAGTGCACTGGGGGCTGTTGAAGGAGCTGGTGGGGCTGGGACATCCCATGGGCAGAGTGGAATTAACTTCTCTTGCGGCTTGCGGGGTGGATCGGAAGCCAGCCCAATTGTCATTGAGTTTGGGGACTTCATCCACAGACATCAAGTGTCGCATCCAGCCTCTCTCCTGCCTGTGGGAAGCAGCCTGGGGCTCCTCGTAACCAAAGCTATGGTTCTCTAGGGGGGTGAGGACCTCCTGGACCCTTGAGGGGGTGGGGGCGCTGGGTCAACCGGAGGGTGCAAGAAGGAAGGCTCCCCATCCCCCCAGGAGTAAGGATGTTTCCCTGTTTCCGCCATGAACTTCTAAAGTGGGGCCCCCAGACCAGCAGCACGGACATCCCCCTGGAGCCGGAGAGAAATGCCGTCTAGCCCCACGCAGACCTGCGGACCTGGACTCTGCAGGTGGCCAGATTCCAGGCTGCTCTGAATGCCCTTGAGGGTCTGAAAGACACTGAGGCAGAGGTTCTGAGGCTGGAGGGGAAGGCGTGCTGTGGACCCAAAACGCTGGGAGCGGCCCGTCTTTAAGCAGCCCTGCCCTGAGGTGGTCCTTCACACCCGTGCCTCCCAGGTGACTGTCTCTGCTCCACTCCGCTCCACCCGGCTGTCTGGCGGTGCCTCCAGGATGGCTGAGCATCTCCTAAGGGACTGCTGGACATGTGTCGCTCTGGGAAGGCTGGTTTAGGACACACCGTGCAGCAACGCCTCATCAGGTCTGCAGCATTTTTATCAAGTCTTGCATTTTCTGGAAGATGATCAGTCCTTACTCCTTTGTGACCAAATACGTCTCCTCTTGGGGACTTTGCTGGTGCAGAGGGCTGCCACGTGCGACGCACTCAGAGGGCGCTTGAGAGGCCAGGACCCAGGACAACTGGTTGACCTTCTGGGGCACGGCTCCTAGGCTGCCAGGGGCTGAGGTCAAGGAGGAGTCGTGGAGAGTGTCCGTGGTCAGTCAAGTGCCTGGATATTTCTGTCAAGCTGTGCAGCCCGAGAACCCAGCTCTCCTTGAGAACATTTGTCGTCCTGGAGCAAAGCAGCAGGAGGACTGGAGGCTGGGATGGGTTTCATCTCAGAGGTTCCAGGAGGAGGAGGTCGGACCCCGCCAGCAACACACCAGGACCCACTGGGAACACATCCGCGACTCGGGCAGCCCCTTCCTTTTCTGCTTTGTCAACCTGGACTGGTGGACCAGGCTCTCACCGTCCTGGGCGAGAGCCATTATAATATGCTTTCCAAGCAGTTTTTTTTTTTAAACAGCGAAGGCACAGTGTCCAAGGTGGGGGGAACTGTACAATTTGCCTGGAGGAAGCTCGGGGTTGCTCCCTGGGCGTCCCTGCTCCAGCCGTGTGAAGTCCCCCTGTGGAACCCCTCAAGGGCAAGACGGTCCTACTGATGCAGGAGAAACGGATGTGGGGCGTGAGGACAGCCGTGGCCCGGGTCTCGGTCGTGCCTCTGGACGTTCCCCACCAAGTGTGGGTCCTTGGCTTCCTGCAGGAAAGAATTCAAGTGCGAGCCACTGTTGATTAAAAGGTAGATTTGTTTGGAGAGATGCACACTGCATGGAGTGTTAGGCAAGAGAAAGACCATGAGATGTGGGGGTTGGGTGCTCAGGGTAAAGCAAAAGTAGGTGCACCCTCCATAGACAGAATGCGGCCGTCTCCGAAGACGGGGGAGCCAGACAGGCAGCCGGGCGTGGTGCTGTCAGTTTTTATGAGCTCGGTAGCTTCACACGCCTACAGATGGGACCATTCCCACTGCCCTGGGGCTCCCAGGAACTGGGCCACCGCCCACCCCACTCTGACCTTCTGTGCTTAGCCCTGGGGCTGTCATGGCGCCTGCGGGCACGCGATCGATCACGCTGCTACAGTGAGCGTGCAATGAAGTTCCAGATCTCCTAGACGTCAACCTCCTGCCATGTCCATCCTCAAGGCCAACGGGAGTTGAATCTTTGACCATTTTGGTGTGAAATTGCTGTCATTCGTTGAATGGCTGCGCCCTGGCCGCCTTCCCTCCGGTCTCGCTCCCACCCGTCGGTGGCTCGCAAAGTGGCTTCATCTATGACAGGGGACCCCAGAAGGGCCGGTTTAAATTAACCCACACGTCAGGGGACGCCTGCAAAATCCGACGGAAAGAAATGAGGAACGCCCGTCTCCAAGGGTCCCTTCAGGAGGTACAAGGACAACGGTTGGAATGATAAACTCTTAAGACCCTGTCTGCCTTGCGTATCCCCCGGTGGACCCGCTCCCCGGTGATTAGCTGCAGCAGCTGTAATTGGACCCAGGGCTTCACACAGCCAGCTGCGTTTTCTTCCTCCCTCCCCACCTCCTCTCAGGGCTTGCCTGGGGCGGATTTCCTCCTTAGATGGAGGTAGATAATTCAGCGGGGGCCTGATTCGGGGAGGCTGTTGACCTGGCACCACAGCCCCACCGTTTGCTTTGCAGAAACGCCGTTTGTCCCACTGACTTGGGGGGTTTCAGAAGTTCAGGGACGCAAACCAAAATCCGAAACATCTTAGCGTCTTGCAGGGGTAGTGCTGGGCCAGGGAGGGGTCTGGTTGCTAGACGTAACCGAAGCGTTCCGCCAACTGCCACTCAGGTGGTTTCCTCTTGAAATCCCCGCCCCCACCAAATGTTGCTTGTTTTTGGAGGGTAGGGGGTCTTGGGTACCGTGCCAAGACCTCGCTCCCACCAGCATGAGTCATTTCCAGCCCCCGCCTCTGGGATCTCAGCCATGGGGGACCGTCATTAAGATCTGGAACACACACACACACACACACACACACAGACACACACACACACGAGGCCGCTTTCTCCTCGGTGTTTATCCGTAAGTAAACCCCAGAACACGTGGGTTTGGTTAAGAGCCGCTGAGCCAGCGAAACAAAGCAGATCAGAAACAGATCTTGTGTTCCCAGCCCCGTCTCGGGCCCTGGGTGGAAAATGAAGCTGGTGGCCGTGATTGCCCCGGGCGCAGCCCTTCCCGTATCTGCCCCAGATGGAGCCCGCTGAATCTGCATCTCCCCCGCCGAGGGATGTCCCTGGTGGCATGGCTACAGATTGAAGGGTGTTACTGGTGGGGCTGCGGCTTAAGCCACACCGGGCAGGATCTTGGCTGCAGCCCGTCCCGGAGAGCAGGGGGTGCCTGATGCAGTCCTGCCGGGCCTGCGGGACTGAGTCCTTCCTACACCCTGGGCTGCCCGCCTGCCCGCCCGCCTGCCCGCCCGCCCGCCTGACGGCTGGCTGGGTGCTGTGTGAGTCACGCTCACGAGGCTCCCTGGTGCCACACCCACAGCCAGCAGGGGCGGCTGCCTCCACTGGCCTCCCCGTGCATCCGCCGCATCCTCTCTAGAGGGAAGGAGGCGGCTGGAAACAGGCTGGTGGTTGGTTTGGGGGGACTTGGCTATTTCCAAGGCCAGGGGTGGGGGCACCCGGGGTCCCCGCTGCCAGGCAGGCTGGTGTCAGGGCTCCTGCATCCCCAGAGGTGGCCCCCAGCCCTTCGGGAGAAGGCCCGGGTGCCGCCCAGCTGTTGTGCAACAGGTCGGGCGGGGACAGAGCCCAGGGGCCTTGCTCAGCGCGGGGCAGCCCGGCTCACAGGTCGGGGGAGACGCCTACGTGCTGTTTATGGACGGGGAAGCGCCCTGCTGTCGAGAGTTACTTGTACACCGTCAAGGGCGGGTGGAATGCAGATTCCGGAGCTGCCTGTGTAGCCGAGGGTCCGGGGGAAGCTGGGTGTGTGCCGGAGGGAGGGTCAGACACACCCTCGCCGGCTGCCCTGGAAGGAATGTGTTTTATAAATCCCGTAAGGCTTCTCGTCTCCCCCTCCGCCCCTGGACCATGACCCGGAGCAGAAAGGGGCCAGATTGTTCCCGAAAGAGGAACCTGCAGGGGCTGGAGGGATGCAGACGCTGGCAGAGACCGAGGTCTCTGAGGGAGGTGGGAGCTCCCCGTGTTAGAAAAGGCTCTCTGGGATTTAGTCTGGGGACGCACTGAGCCCTGGCCTCCAGTCCAGACCGTGCGGCTGCCCATGGGGGCACGCTGGCCTCAGATCTCCGCTCTCCAGTGTCTGGGATTGGGGGGCGGGTACTGGCTTCTGGGGATGGACAGGCTCCCAGCCCGAGTTCCCTCGGTGACCAGCCCCAGATGCTGCCTGCATGGTTTCCCAGCGGGGGACGTGCCTGGGGCTTCCCTGACCCCAGGCCGGACGGGTCAAAACTACGTCCAGGGCAGGTGCAACCCAGGTGAACACCTGGAGGAGACGCAGGGTCTAGGGGCTGCCATGTGTGGCCACTTTTGGTAATGTTGATTCTTCCACACCAAGACCTCAAGGTATCTTTCCATTTCTTTGTGTCATCTTCAATTTCCTTCCTCAATGTTTTAGTTTTCAGAGCATAGGTAACCTCCTTGGTTAAGTTTATTTCTAGGTATTTTGTTGTTTTTGATGCAATGGAAATGTTTATGCCAGTTATAAAATTCTCGTGTTTGAAGCGGTTAAAAAAAAAACTGAATGAAGGGCCACAAATGGCAAAATATCCTTCTTTCTTGACGGACCTCAGGGGTTTTCAGATCTGGTTTGAGAGGCAGGGAAGGTGGGGTGGGGGCCAGGGCAGGGGGACAGGGGGTGCATGTGGGGAAAATGCACTTTAATATGCAGGAGAGGAAGTGACTGCAGCCCTCCCACCCCTGGCTCCTTAAAAAGACTTTTTTTTTTTGGAGATAAAATTCACATGCAAGAAAGTCACCATGTTAATCCTTTGAAAGAAAAGTGAACAGTTCAGAGATTTTTTTTTTTTAAGCACATTCACCCTGTTGTGCAATCATCACCACTCTTGAATTCCAGAACAGTGTCATCACCCCCAAAAGCCCTCCAGCACTGAGGGGAGGAAGGTGGGGCTGTCCTGCAATGTTTGTGAAAGGCTTGCTTGAGGGGGCATGTCGCAGCCAGTGAGGGGGCAGCGTGCAGCTGGGCCTCAGTTCAACTTTTACCGAGTGAGAAAAATATCCCCAATTCGAGCCGTGCGGCTGTGAGCTTACCACATTCCCCAAGAGCATTCACTAAGCTGAAAATGAGGGTCAGGATGTGTCCCGGCAAGTAAACGGTGTAAGTCTGTATCTTCAAAAACGCTCACATGCTGCCGCCTCCAGGCAGACCTCCAGGTCTGCTCCCACAGGAAGTGGAACGGCCCACTGCCTTGTGGTCTCGGCTGCACCCTGTGCCCACCTGCAGGGATAGTCACACGTCTTTCTCCCCTAAAGGTCCAGGGGGCAGGGCTCATGACGGTCACGGTCACACCCCCAGCACCCAACAGTGTGCCTGTCACGGAGTCGCAATTCATAACGTTTGCAGAGCAAGTACCATGTGATATCACTTCTAGGTGGAAACTGAAAATAAATTAGGAGTTTGGGATTAGCAGAGACACACTACGGTATGTAAAATAGATAAACAGCAAGGTCCTCCTGTGCAGCACAGGGAACTCTATTCAATATCCTGTAAGAACCTATAATGGAAAAGAATCTGGAAAAGAAAATGCTTATGTATGTATTCAGTCAAAACGGAATCCCTTTGCTGTACACCTGACGCTACCACAACGTTGTAAATTAACTACTTCAATTAAAAAAGAAGAAAGACAAGGGTGCCACAATGTTCCTTCAGACGCGTCTTTGATGAGGCGGCACCAGCCTACCAGGAAAGCCACGGGGTGGGTTTGGCAAAGCCACGGGGAGGTGGAGGGGGTGGACTTTGACCTTCCACCGAGCTCAGGGCGGTGGGATTGACCTTTGCCCTGAGGGGGATATCTGGACAGACCAGCCAAAGAGGAGGCCGGCACCCGGCACCCTGCCCATCCCATCTCGGTGTGACCCATGCCCTGTGTCTTCCCCACAGGTCAAGGTGACTTTGATTTGGCCGACGCCCTCGATGACCCTGGTGAGTGCCAGTATTTCTAGGGAAAATGCTATGTTTTTTGCAGCCTGAGTCAGCTGTGCAGTTTACAGGGTAGGGGTGGGGGTGGGGTCAGAATTCAGAATTCTAGCTATTAAAAATTTTGTTTTCACACAAGATCACGGGCACAGAGAGGCGAATGATTTTTCCCACCTGAAATACTCTTTATGACGCCTTGAGCGTGGGGCCGGTCTAACGTCCCGCAGGTCTGCGCTCCCCGAGCCCGTGGGCAGGGTGCGCTCGGGTGCACGCTGCATTCCCTCCGTGGGGCTCGTAGCTGGCTCCGTCCTCCGCCGCACCCGGCGGTGATCACCCGAGCCAGCCCTCCTGCAGGGCGGGCCGCACCCTCCGGTCACCTCCACTCACGGGGCACTGGTGCCTTGAATGGACGACGTGACCCCTCTTTCCACCTGTCTGTGGCCACCATCCTCGGGGGCGGCTTGACCTCCTCGCAGCCAGAGAGCCGAATATACATCTGCTGGACCCAGGAGGACGGTCCAGATTCAGGCGCACAGGGGAGCTGGGAGGCAGAGGCGTTGGGGCCTGGGGGTGCCGAGGGCACGGGAGCAGAGTCGGAGGAGGCAGGAGGCAATGGGCGTGTCAGGTGGGCACAGGGGGACTGGGGCTTCTTTTGGAAAGAAAGATTGCTGCCTGGGTCTTCAGAGACAGATCAGCGGCATCTGGTGTCTGGTCCAAGCCCTGGTCACTCGGCGCAGATCAACCCCTCCATCAGCCTCGCCCCTCCTAGGAAGATGATTGGGGGAATTAAAAGGATGGACTCAAACAAATATGTGTTTATAGGGGTGTTATTCATAGTTGCCAGAAGGTGGAAGCCACCCAAATGATAAACAGAATGCGGTCCATCCATACAGGGGAATATTACTCAGCCAGGAAAGGGGAGTGATGCTCTGACACAGGCGACAGTGTGGATGGACCCTGAAAATGTGATGCTGTAGAGGACAGGGCTTTCTGCAGAGAGGCGGGACCCAGTCCACGGTGCCCGCGGGCAGTTCTAACCTCCGTCACCTTCACCAAGCTCTGCCTCTCTGAGCATCTTCCAAAAATCTCTCTGTCTTGCTGCCCCATCTCTGCCCACCCACACCCGACACCCAGACTGTGCACCTGACCCCCCGTGCACGAGTGCTGACCTCGTGGTATGGGAGTCACCCGGGAGGCTGCGAGTGTCCCCATGTACACACTCCCCGGCACCAACAGGCTCTCCGCAAACGTGTGTCAAATGCATAAACACGTGCGTGAAAGAAACAGGGAGAAGCGTGGCTCTGGAGGCGGGAGGCCTCCCTTCCCGTTTTCCTCCACGTGTCCTACGTCTGCCGTGCGGGCTCGCAGCCGCCCTGCAGGTGCGCGTGGTACCGTGTGTGCGCCCACCTGCCCTGGATGCTCTGGGCGAAGACCGCCTTCCCGCAGGGGTCCGAAAGCTCACTCCTTCGTCTCCTGCGAGACTTTACGGAAACTCACTTCCTAATGAGCTGGGAGGACCCCCTTATGGAAGCTTTGCTCTCCACTCCCCCCAGCCCCCAGCCTCTGCACAGATGCAGGGAAGACCGCTAGGCATGTGTGTTAAGGGCGCTTTTTCCCCCCACCATGAATGGAATTTGTGTTCATATCACCGTTCATGGTTTCCTTTTTTTGTGTGAGGGTGTTTATCATTCTTTCTTCAAGCTGCACATAAATCTTCGATGTTTCTTGACTGTCTGATCTCTCTTTGCCCACAGAGCCGACCAAGAAGCCAAGCTCAGGTGAGTGACTGCCTACTTGCCTGCACGGAAGTCGGGCTGCACCTTGGAGCTGGTGGATTTTGGGTTTTTTCTGGGGGGGGAGGACTAATCAAGTTTATTTATTTTTAAATGGAGGGACTGGGGATGGAACCCAGGACCTGCTGCGTGCTAAGCACACACTCACTGAGCTAGACCCCCCCCCCATGGAGCTGGCGTATTTGAAGGCACGCCTGAGGGTGTTTTATAGGCTCCTGGGCTGTGGGAGGAGGCGGTGAAGTTTCAGGCAAACAGGGGTCACTGGGGGAATGCAAATCAAAGTTGCAGTGAGACAGCGTTCCTCCTCCTCGGATGGCTAGCATCAAAACACAAAGGGCCACAAATACGGAAGGTAACCTTTGCCGGCAAAGGTGCGTGAAGACACGGGAACCCTCGAGGGCTTGCCGGCGGGCGTGGAAGATGGTGTGGCCTCTGCGGAAACCCGTCTGACAGCGCCTCAGAGACTCCGTATGGAATTTCTGTGGGACCGAGTTGTTCCGCCCCCGGGGGGGCGATCCCAAGGAATGGAATCCAAGGATTCCAGCGGGAACACACAGATGGAGACTGACGGCGTACAATCCCTCGCGAGTCCAGGAGAGACAAAAACAAAAGATAAAATAAACTCGATTAAATGAAAAAGCCAACCTGATTAACGAAATAGAGACCAGGAAAGAAAATTAAAAAAAATAAACCGAAGGGACACGTTTAAATAGTAGGAACCGTGTACCGTTCATTCCTGTGGAAGTAAAATGATTGCATGACCCTAAGAAGACAGGGTTAGATCAAGCCGTTTAAAATCAGTTTTACGCCGTTTAACAAGGTGAGAGGAAACGGGAAAAGACGTGTGAAGCGAAAATCCTATCCAGAGGAAGGTGGTATCACCTAGTAATGTCAGAAAAAGTAGCCTTGAAGGAAAAAAAAAAAGAAAAACCAGTTGTGTGTGTGTGTCTGTGTAGTTTTTTCTTTCCATTCTGAATGCTGAGATTTTATTTCTAACCGCGAAGTAATTTTTTTTCGGTTAACCGGGTCGATGGTAATCCCCAACGCCCTGAGCAACAGTGCTGAGTAAGATGTAAGCTCTATAATCACCTGCTGGTCTTGTTTTACAGGCTGCTTCTGAGTCAGGGATGTTTTTCTCTTCCAAACACGCAGTCTCATTTGTCCCCCGCAGGTATCTACCCAAAGCCGAAGCCCCCGTACCCACCACGGCCTGCGAGTCCCGACCACCACGGGGGAGGTAAGGACGTTCGCTGCTTTCAAAACGGGTTGGATGAAACGTGTCTCTCTTTTTTTCTTTCTTTCATTTGTTTTTTTTTTAACTAGTTTTCATCCAGCTGCTTTGGCTACAAGTACCAGGTCACCCTCTAGGGAGGGTGGGGTTTGTCCTTCGGAGGAGGAGGAAATAGGGGCCAATAGCCAATAAAGTCCTCTGCAATTCAGGAACCAAAAAAAAAAAAAAAAAAAAAAAAGCTAAAATGTGACCAGGCAGATGGGGGCCTGGAAAGCCGGAAAAGTCGAGGGCGTGAGGAAGCTTCCTGGAAGGTTCTAGGCGTTGGGACGGGTGGAAATTCATCTCCTTGTGGGGAGGGAGGTGGTCAGTCAAAGTAAGAAGTCAGGTTTGATGAACCGTTGCCTTATTGTGAAGCAACGCACGACACTAACTGAGTTAGTTAAAGGCTGGCTAAGTGACTACCAATCTTTAAAACCATCTTTTAAATCTGCAACTCCCAATTTATCCCCCGCCCCGGTAACCATAAGTTTGTTTTCTATGTCTGTGAGTCTGTTTCTGTTTGGTGAATAAGTTCATTTGTGTCATTTTTAAAAAAGATTCCACATAGGAGTGATCTCATATGATATTTCTTGTTCTCTGTCCAACTTACTTCACTTAGTGTGAAAATCTCCAGGTCCATCCATGTTGCTGCAAATGGCATGATTTCATTCTTTTTATGGCTGAGTAGTATTCCATTGTTTAAATGCACCACACCTTCTTTATCCAGTCATCTGTGGATGGACATTTAGGTTGCTTCCACGTCTTGGCTGTTGTAAATAGTGCTGCCATGAACATTGCGGTGCATGTGTTTGTAGAATGATTCCTTAAATGCAAATGACCTAATTCTGCCCTTTGCTTCTTAAGAAAAAGAAAAGCTCTTTTTTTTTTCCAAGTTTAACATCCCAGCTCCATCAATTTCTTTCTTGTAGAAATTCCTCCCAGCCCTTTCCACAAAGCCTTGTTCGACAGAGCGTTGCTCTTCTGCAAGGTGCCGGCGGACATCGCTCATGGGACGGACTTCTTGCAACCGTCTATTTGGGAAACATAGGGTTAAACGTGCTTCCACGGGCTCCTGTAAAATGAGTCACCAGAACCAGGTTGACTCATGCATCCCGGGGCCTGTGGGGGGCAAATCTCAGGCTTGGGAGGTGTCCTCCTGTGACTCACAACTCCCGGGGCCGACACTATTTCTTTTTTTTTCTTTTTTTTTTTTCTTTTTAATCGAAGGACTGGGGATTGAACCCGGGACCTCGTGCAAGCTAAGCGCGCACTCCACCCATGAGCTGTGCCTCCTCCACACCCCTTCCCTGATGCATCCTGAACCAGAGGAATGTTGCTTTCCGGCATTTGTTTTCAAGCTTTGCTAAAACCCAGCCGTGAGATGGCGGCCCTGATTATGGATTTATATTTGATACGCTTTATGCAGCTCTTGGTGTCAGCATAAGCCACAACAGGGGAAAAAAATGGATTTCATCCATGAACCCCTTTTGTGCTTTAAAGGGGATGGTCAGTAGAGTGGAAATTCACACGCAGAGCGGAAAGCGGGACGCACGATCAGCAACGTGAGACGCTTTTGTCCTCGTATTGGGGACGGACTTTCGCCAACCGTCTGACCTTTGCGATAACCCCACACAGGGGGACGTTCCCAGCTCAGTATCTGCCGCCTTCGTTCCAGGAACCCGTGAGCTTTTTGCTCCCAGAACCAGGGGAGGAGGTCCCGGGTGCCGAGATCAAAGCGGGTTTTTAAAGCTTTGGTGCTTGGAGAGGTTAACGACCTTTTGAGGGCTCTGCCCGGCAGATGTGAACCAGCCGGATCGTCACCTTGTATTCCGGTCTTTCTGCGTGGGTGGCTGGTTCGTCCCTGGAAGGTGCCATGGCTTTCCTAAAACCACCTTGCTGTTTTCAACAACAGGTATCTACCCACCGCCGAAGCCGCCGCCTCGCCCGCAGCCTGGCACTTACGACAGCAGCGGAGGTGAGAGTCGTGAGTGCGGGGGTTGCCCGTGGATGCCACCCGTGTTCCAGGTTCTCGTCCCGCCCCGGAAAGAATTCAGAGACAAGACGTAGTGGTTTAAAAAAAAGAAGAAGTAAAGTGAGGATTTATTAAAGGATGGGTGGTTCACCCTCGAGGGGACAGCGGGCAGGCTCAGGTGAGCGGCTGCCCCGAGTTTTTTTGGCAAGTTGGTTACGCAGGGTGTAAAAATGAATGGGCAGAATACATTGAGGGGGAAGGGTGTGGGGTCCTATTCCCTGATTTTCATCCCAGCCGCACCTTCCCGAAGGGAGGAGGGATTTTTGTCCTTATTTAATCTGCATAGGACTGTGGTGAATGGGAACTTGCAATCTGCAAGGCTAATTTTATTGAAATGTGGGCATAATGAGCAAAAGGTTGCATTCGGACACTGGAAATTCCTGCCTTTTCTCACCTTTCTTTGTTGGTCTGCAGGCCACTCGTCACCCCAAAAGTTGTGCCCCCTTATGAGCCCAGAGGTTCCTGCTTTTCTCTCTCTGCCCGGGGACCCCTGCTGCTCACGTGGTGTGTGGTTTCTTGCGTTTGGCCCAGGCCCCTCCTCTCTGCCCAGTTCCTGCCATGCGGCCCGCGTCCCCCTTTCTCTGCTCATGTGTAGCCATCCGCCTGCTCTGACAGTGGGACACAGTCCGGAAGCCTCGGGAGGGGAGCAGCGGACCCGTCTTGGAATTCTGTCCTCGGCGGTGAAGTGCTATTTTGCGTTTGAACCACACGGAGGTTCTTTAAGGAAAGTGTCCACCTGCTCCCCGCCGGCAGCTGGCGGGGGTACTCTGACGGAGGACACCTTTTGTTTCGTTTTGGCTTCTTCCCCGGGTTGCAAAAATGCAACGTGCTCCAGAGACATTTTGCCTCATCGTGACAAGGCTCCCCCTTGGATCCCGCAGGGGCCCCGAGTCTCTGGCCCTCAACACCGGCTTTCAAAGGGCAGTGGGATGTTCGGACTCTGAGCAGTAAGAATTGGAGCTCAGGCTTTGCAAATCGGGGCTGGCGGGTGATGGAGGCAGCTTTGGCCGGGTGAAGGCGGACTGTCTTCCCTCCCAGGTGATGTTTGGGGCCATCTCTTTGGCTCTGGGGAGGACACACATAGACTTCTCGAAGCTGGCAGCCCCAGGCTCCTTCCTCGGGGAGCAACAGCCTCCCCTTTGAATTCGCTTGCACAGCCAGGTGTACGGCGCCCAGACACCCTGCACCTTGGCTTGTACCCAGCAGACAGGCCCACCCCAGCCCCTAAAGGCCGTGAGGTTTATTCTGATTCTAAAATACAGACCTCCCCCCACCCCGACCCCCTGGACCCCAGCAAGCAAGCAGCCCAGGCTGCACACGCGATGCCCCATTGCCAGACTCCACGTGGACACGACCCCCGAATAGGCTCTGAACATCGGGCGCTCAGAAGACGTTTTAGAAACGGCAGTGCCAAAACGCACAAGTCAACTTTGCTGCCATTTTGCACATTAAATTTGATTCCAGTTTGGAAAAAAAGAAAAAAAAAACTTAAGACTCTGCTCGGGACGTGAGCAAGTTCACTAAGAACTTGCAGGAATATTCTGGAGGGAACCAGAAACCATATGCAGGTTTTTCCCAAACGGGAGCTCGAGGGCGACCTCGTGGTCCGTCCCACGTGTGTGTTTTGCCAAAACCACCCAGCGATGAATTCAGTTCTGGCGTCATCTACCCAGAGACAGAGTCAGACCCCAGCGGTTGAGGGCTCCCCGTCCTGCGAAACTCTCCCCACTTCAGTCCCAAGTCCCAGAGTGTCACCTGTGCTCCCGACCGGCCGACCGGCTATAGACGGGGCTTCCCCGTGACCCTCCTCCGGTTTGGTTACTTTGTTAGAACGGCTCACAGAACTCAGACAAAGCCTGATGTTTACCAGTTTAGGACGCGATAAAGGGCGGAGATGAACAGACAGATGGAGAGACACCCAGGTGGGACCTGGGAGGACCCCAAGCGCAGGAACCCCTGTCCGCCTGGAGTTAGAGAAATTCTCCGATCCGGAAGCCCTGCAGACCCCACCCTTGTGCGTTTCCACGGACACCGCTTCCTTGCAAAGGCCTGACTGATGAACTCGCGGGCCGCTGGGGATTGCCCTCAACCTCCAGCCCCTCTCCCCGCCCCAGAGCACCGGGCTGAGGCTGCAACTTGCAGCTCTCCCGACGCCATTTGAGGGTGTCTCTGTAAATGTGCATGAGGCAAAGGGTGTGGAAGTCGCGGGTGGGGGGACCCAGAGAAGAGGGTCCACAGAAGACCTGCAGGAAGCACCCCACCTCTTCCCAGGATGGGGAGACGGGAGGGATCCCCGAGCTGTGCCCCGCCCCCCACTCCAAGCTCTCCCAGGACTCAGTGCTGCCCAGGGTCCTGGGGTTCCGAGGGATGAAGGACTCTTTGCAGTCAGCAGCTCCTCGTAAACTTTCTGATCAGAAGGTGTCTGTCTCACCGGTGGTCCCTCCCCGGCTGATGGGTTTCCTGTACGCTCTGTCTACAAGCGAGAGTCCTGGCCACCAGGACCCCTGGCTTTGGGTCCCCAGTCTCCCAACCCCGACCCCACTGGGGTCCTGGAGAGGGACCTGCCAGCTCTCCAGCTCTCCGGAAGCTGCCCCAGTACCCCCATCGCGGACTCAGGTATAAAGAGGGCTCTCCAGAGCACCATGTGATGGTCCTGTGCTCCGCCCCCAGGTTTCCTGAGTGACAAGGACCTCGATGACGGCCGCTACCCGCCCAGGCCCAGGCAGCCCGCAGGTGCGTGGGGGCCTCTGGGAACTGACTGGGGAGGGCATGGGCGAGGACGTGCCGCATCTCCACGTGCCTCTGTTAAAATGTATGCTCTCTGTGATACAGTTGACGTGTAACAGCTTGTGAGTGTGACGGACTCCGTGTGCTGATCTGATACACTTGTCTGTTGCAATGCGGTCCCCGCTGTGGCCTAAGCCAACCCCGGCCTTTGTCACAGAGTTTCCATTTTTTGCTTGCTCTCTCTCTCTCTCTTTTTTTTTGTGGCAGAGACAATTAAAATCTGTTTCCTCTGTATACCTTTATATTTATGTATATGTATGTACGTGTGTATGTCTTTATATACTTATATGTCTATATGTGTGTATGTTTGTATCTCCACACATACATATAGGTATATATACAATTTTTATGTAAAATTTCCCCTGTAACTGGGCTGTGACCAGCTGCACAGCATCTGCCTTATATAAATGCATACAATCTTTCTCATATAAATGCACAGAATCCCATATGAATGCACAGAATATTTCCTATATAAATGTACAGAATATTTCCTATATAAATGCACAGAATATTCCCTGTATAAATGCACAGAATGTTCCCTATATAAATGCACAGAATATTTCCTATATAAAAAAGTGCCTAGAATCTTTCCTATATAAATGCACTAAATCTCTCCTATATAAATGCACAGAATCTTTCCTATTTAAAAAAATGCAGAGAATCTTTCTTATATAAATGCATACTCTGTCCCATATAAATGCACAGAATCCCATATGAATGCACTGAATATTTCCTATATAAATGCACACTCTGTCCTATATAAATGCACACATTCTTTCTCATATAAATGCACAGAATCCCATATGAATGCACTGAATATCTCCTATATAAATGAACACTCTGTCCCATATAAGTGCACGGAATCTTTCCTATATAAATGCATAGACTCGACCCTATATAAATACACAGAATCTTTCCTATATAAGTGCACCAAATCCTTCGTATATAAGTGCACAGAATCTTTCCTATATCAACAAAAGTGCAGGCCACGTGCATGACTGGGAGAGACAGTGACCTATGTGGCTTTGTTTCCCAGTAGGTGGGGGGTCTCGGGTATTCAGTTCTGCGAGTTTATCTGAGAAGAGTTCAGAGACTTGTCCCCGGTCCCCTGCCCAGGGGGCGTTTGCACCATTTGCTCCAGCACGTGGGCCCCGCCATCTTTCCCGTGATGTTTAAAGGCAACCAACAAATAACCTTGTCGTAAAGTTTATTACAGGGGCCATCGGGGAAGTCTAGAAGTGAGTGTCTTTAATAAAGGACGTTTACGAGCGGGGACACCCCCGCCCCCGTCTCCCTTCTCACAGAGGTGGTTCTGCCCCGAACTCTCCGCGGGAGGCGGGCGTGCCTGCGCTAATGTGGGACCCGTGAGGGGGGCACGTGAGCTGTCTGAAGGCACGGAGCTTTCTCAGGGGCTCTCCGTGGCCTGAGTCGTCCCACCCCAAAGCTGTGACTTTGGCCGGGGACTCCTTTGAGCGTTTCCCCTGTGGTCCCCAATCTTTGCCACCCCTCTTTGGGGTGACTCTTGGACCAGGCTTTGGTGCCATTGCCAGCGCTCCAGGGGGACGCCTGCTGGAGCCCAGACTCGGTGGCTGAACCCATCTTCTGTCCTGCAGGAGGAGGAGGCGGTGGCGGCTACTATCCACATCACGACGGCTACGGAGACACACACGGTAAACCCGGCGCTGGGGAGGGGCTGGGGTGGCATTTTCGGGGTTCCCACTTCTGCTCCGCATCGCGTCTTCTTCGTGGGGTCTTGGGTGTTGGCAGTCTGTCTGCGGGCTCTTCTGCGCCGTCTGTGCGGACAGACCTCCTCTTGGCCTCGTCCTGCTCCCCGGGAGCCCAGTGGCGGCCGCCACACCCCTGTGTCCAGGTGAAAAGAAACAGAGCAACAGCCTACGAGGCTCACGAGGGGGGCAACATCCAACGAACGGGGCATTCTTTTTACGCTCACGGACGATGCCAAGAAAGAACGGAGCAGCGGGCAGGCGCCTTGTCTAGAGTCAGGTTCCCCCCGAGCGATCGGTCGATTTTACAGCTGACGTGACGTTCCGTCATGCGATGTTTGTCTATCTCGTGGGGTGACCCCCGCAGGAGGTGCAGTGAGCATCCATCACCACACAGTCACAACTGGTTTTTGTTTTTCCCTTTTGTGAGGAGGACTTTTAAGATCTGTCTGCTTAGCAACTTTCAAATATGCAACCTCAGTGCTGTAAACTGTAACTCCACCTGCTGTAAGTCTCGGTCTGGGCTCTCTCCTTCTCTGCCGGATTCCTAAGGCAGAAAGGACGAACTGACCCAGCCGTGCCCCGGGGAGCCCTGAGTGTTTCTGCACGGTTTCCCGGGAAACGGGTCAGGGCTGGAATCGCGCGGTGCCCTTTCTTGGGCACCTGCCCCCCGGGGGATGATAGCTCCCCCGTCCGAATGATCTTGTATCCTGAGGGGTAATAATGCTTCTGCAGAAAATCCGAGTATGCACAGCAGGTGACGGCCACCACCTGCCACTCGGGATCCACAGCAGAGGGTGGGGGCGGGGGGCACGCGTGCGTTCACGGCAGGCTCTGGAAGAGACCGTCAGCTCCCGCCCGCGTCCACGCCGCCGTCCTCTGGCTCCGAGCCGGGCGAGGCTGTGAGTCTGCTCTGAGCCGAGCACCGAGGTTCTGGGACCCGCGCCCAGCCTCTCCCTGCAGGTGGTGGAGCGTGTTTCCTTTCTTAAGAAAAATGCAGAAGGGCCGACCGGGGCGGGCGTGCCCCAACTCTGTCTTCCCTCCTCACATTCTGGGGGAAAGGCTTTGCTCATTCTTTCCAGAACTGGCTTTTGATCGGCAGGTTTCTCTAATACCCACCGTGTGCGTCACCTCGGGTGCGATAGCAAACATCACGACGGGGCGGCTTACACGTCACACGTTTATTCCTCCCGGTCCTGGGGGGTGGAATCTGAGATCAAGGTGTGAGCAGGGCTGGGGTCCCCTGGGTGTGTGAACGGCCGTCTCCTCCCTGTGTCCTCCCTTGGCCGTCCCTCTGTGTGCGTCTGGGTCCTCATCGCCTCTCCTTATAAGGACCCCAGTCCTATGAGATCAGTACCCACCCTAGTGACCTCATTTTACCTTCATCACCTCTTTGAAGACCCTCATCTCCAGAAACAGCCCCATTCTGAGGTCCTGGACGTGAGGGCTCTAACGTATGAATTTTGGGGGGTGGACACAATCCAGCCCCTAACACCAGCCCTACTCCCCTCGGAAGAGGCCACTTATTAAAGGACCCCTAAATGCTGAACCAGCACCCACATCCACTATTCCACCGCAGAATGAACCACATTAACACCAAGGATTTTGTCTTCATCTTAATTCTGTCTTTAAAAATTCCTCTCTGACTGTACGTAGAATAGATAAACAGCAAGGTCCTACTGTACAGCACAGGGAACTATATTCAATATGCTGCAATAACCTGTAGTGGAAGAAATATATATGTACATATATATGTGTAACTGAATCGCTTTGTTGTACATCTGAAATTAATACAGCATTGTCAGTCAACTATACTTCAATTTTAAAAAAAGTTGCTCTCTGGAGACAAGAAAGCGTAGAGAAGCCTCCTTTAGTTTTTTATCAGTTGAGATGACTGTTTGATGCCTGTGTTTCTGTGGGGGGCCGCGTCCCTGGCCTTGGGGGCCGGGTTGTCCTGGACGGCAGCGGAAGGGACTTGAATGTATCTCCCAGTCTTCGGGGACCTGCACCCGTCCGGCCTCCGCTGCATGCGTTAGCAGAACCCACTGGTTTTGCACTTCGGGCTCAGTCCCCGCCTCTGTGTGGTCAGAGGACGAACGCCCTGGGTGAGCGTGTGCCGCCTCCTGGCTTGGGGAGAAGCAGGTGGGGCGTTGGCAGGTTTTCACAGCCTCTGGCTTTGGGGATGCTGGCTTTCCTGTTGGGGCTTCCTTTGGAGACGTCCCTGGGATTTCCCAACTGTATCTTCCGTATCCTGTGTCCTTTCTGTCCTGCAGGAGGAGGGAGATACAGACCCCGCTCCCGTGGGAGTAATTATGGTAAAGGAGTTATGTCTTAAAAGCTGCATGTGGGGAAGTTCTCCTCCTAAAGGTCTAACAGCCCACGTGGGCGCTGCTGCAAAACCTGTTGTCTCGGGGGTCCTGCATGGAACCTCCCTGACCGCCTGGCTCTCTAATCTGTGTCCTCCCTGGTCACTGAAGCTGGGGAAGGTGTTTTGCATGTGATGCAAATCGAAATCCTTTCAAGAAAGGAAGACCTGCTTACATGTGCTGTTACATGTGTGCACATGCGTGTATCCAAGCACATGTGCGTGCCTGCGTGTAGGCATGACTGTGTGCAAACGTGTGTACATGTTTGTGGGTGTGATCATGCGTTCACGTGTGCACGCATGTGGCTGTGTGTGCATGCATGGCAGCGTGTGGGTTCGCACATACACATGCATTGTGTGTGCACGCGTGAGCATGCACATGTGAGCAGATATGTGTGTATGTATGCACACGGCTCTTGTGTGTTCACGGGTATGCTTGTGAAGGTGCATGTGCACGTGTGTGTAGAGGTGTGTGTGCCTGTGGTCGCATGGGCATGGTGCACGAGGTGCCTGCAGGCACGTCCACATGTCTGCACTGTGTGTATGTGTGTATGAGGGCATGTGCTTGTGTGTGGCACACGTGTGTGCTTAAGTGCATATTCCCTGACCCCTGAAATGACAGCCACACACCCCGTGGCCTTCATCGCCCCATCCCGCTCCTGACCCTTCGATGCAGCCTGCATGCCCCCCTCCCAGTCCTGTCCGCCCCCACTTGCCCACTGGGAGGTCAGCGCCGGGAGAGCAGACGCTTGCATCCTCCTGTGGCCACGCCCCCGGCATCTCCACGGTGCCCTGCAGCAGACAATCACCCAGTAAGCTCTTCCGAATAAACGACTGACTGTGTGCTCCTCCCCTTCCAGGTGGAGACGGCGCTTCCACGTACGGGAACCCGCAAGGTAAGGGACAGTGACTGAGCACCACCACCATCGATATGATGCTGGTGATGCTTATGAGTGTGATTACATGAGTCAGGAACTGGACGAAAACCAGCCCACCTCTGTCCAAGAGGCCAGGTGAATTTTTGTTCACCAGGCAGCCAGGCAGGGTACCCACAGAAGGAAGAGAATGATGCCTGGGGTAGGAACCAGCACAGCTCACATCTTCTGTGTTCTGTTGGCCAAAGCTCCCACTCTGAGGGTGAAGACCTGGGCCCCAGCTCCCAGTGGGGAAATGCCACCAACTCACATGGTAGAGGGGGTGGACGCAGGGCGGGGAGCCCTGGAGAGCAGCGTCCTGCAGGGGACAGGGTGAGACTGCATGGCCAGAGGAGGGATAGATCCCTGGGGTCCATGGTAATGCTCTTCCAACCAAGGTGGGAGCCGTGTTCACGGCGTGGCCTTTTATCCATCATCTACAACCCGCCAGCTACTTGGTCTGATTTGATGTGCCACATGGATGCTTATTTTATTTTATTTTGTTTAATTGAATTTAATTTTTTAAGGCTCATCATCTTTTTCTTTTTTAATGGCAGGATATGGTTGGTTTCATGGATGCTTATTTTAAACGGAAGCAATGATTTGTTCTTTGGGAGAGCGTTGGTTTTTGTCACCTTCAATCTTTGCAAAGCTTTGTGCTGGTCTTCCCTCAAGGCATTGATGTCCAGTCTGTGCTTAAGTCCAGAGCCCCAGTGTCCTTTGAGGGCAGAGCTACGGGGGGCATTTTCTAGTTAAACTTTATTTTTTTGCATGAATAAACAATGTACATCCAAAAAGACACACAGTCATTTGACTCAACAAATAAATAAAAAACTATAGAAAGCGGCTTTTCTGTGCAAAAGCATTGGATATTCTAGGTGGGTAAGATGTGGTCATGAGCGCCACTGCTGTGACAGCACAATCACTTCCTCAGGCTCTTTGTGAGAGTTCAGTCATTTTCCCGTGAATATAGGGCAAGGGATGTGATGGCAAGAGTTATTTAAAATAAACGGGGCTCCTGCTGGCCGTGTTTGTCTCAGACCTTCTTGCTTTTCTCGACCCCTGCAGGTAACATGGTAGCGAAAATCGTGTCTCCTATCGTGTCCGTGGTGGTGGTCACGCTGGTGGGGGCAGCGGCCAGCTACTTCCGGCAGAACCGGAGGAGGAATTGCTTCAGGACAAATGGCAAGTTTCACTCCCGATTTTATTCTCCCTAAGCAGAAAGCCTGATCAAAATACGAATACATATAACAAAACAGAAACACATAGATCTACAGGACAGACCAGTGGTGACAAGTGGGGAGAGGGAAGGGAAGGGGGAGGGGAGGGGGAGGGGAGTCAGAGGGACAAACTACTATGTATAAAAGAAATAAGCTACAAGGACATATTGTCCAGCACAGGGAGTAGAACCAATATTTTATAACAACCTTGAATAGAGTTTAATCTACAAAAGTGTTGAACCACTATGTTCTGCACCTAAAACTAATATAACATTATAAATCAACTATATGCCAATAAAAATTAAAAAAAAATAAAAGCAGCAAGAAAAACATCTTACCTCCAATAAACACACGGACACATCTTCACATGAGTCCTATCTATGAATTTTGTTCTTAAAATGAAAAATGCTTCGTTTTATAGAGAATTGATTTCTCTTCAGAAAGTCCTCAAAGTAGAGGCTTTTTAAACGTTATAAGCCATTAGTGACGATTTCAGTCTTACCTAAATGATGGTTTTTAAGATCTCTTCTTGTCATAAATTTGTTTTTATTGCAGTGGAGTTGCTGTGCGGTATCATATAAGTCACAGGGGTACAATATAGTGATTCACCCTCTTTACAGATTATATTGCTTTTATAGTTATTGTAAAATGTGGGCTGTATTATGTTGCAAAACTTTTTGGACAATATGCAGGTTAATTTCTTTCACTGATGATTAAAGTCTAAATATTCTTGAATACAACCTGTCAAAAACGTTTACGCAAAATGCATCCTTTGATTTCGTGAGTAAAGGGTTTTTTTTCCTTTGTTTTAGTTGATAAGGCAATGGGTTTTTAAAATATTGTGAATAGTTCAGAGAAGTGTGTCTGTTACGCACGATGCGTCCGTCTGAGCCGTGTTCAAGTGGCACACTCAGTAAATAACATATTTTGAATGGAAAGGAAACACTTTCTGGCGTCTTTCGCCGGCAACGTTATTTCGAGTGAAGTCCAAGGTAGACAAAATGACCCTCCCATTGTAAAGGGGATTTTAAGCTGGATGTCACCACTGACCCACGGGGGACTTGAGAGAAACCAGTGAATGCGTTTTAACAGAGATTTAGCCTTTCATCACTTTTAAAAGTGGTTTTCTTACCTGTAAGATTTGGTTTTACTGCCAAAGACCCTACGATAGCTAACTCGGGACTAACGTGGATGTTAGTTAGTGTTCGAAGGATTCAGCTGGCGGGGCACGGCTTTGCCTGCGTCTGCTTTGTGTTCAGTGGAATTTTAATCACGAGCGAGTCGGGAAAGATGTTTGGGTGGAACCTGCAATTTTTGCTCCCCTCTCCCAAAAGGGAATGACAGCAGGGCTAAATCGGAAATCTTTCCGTTGAATTTCAGGCTGTGCACAGACCCCAGGGAAATGGGAGGGTGGGTGGGGGTGCTGGGGCTTTCTGCTTCAACTTTGGGTCCAAGCTCCTGGATTTGACAAACTGGGCACCCAGGGAGCAGAGATCCTGGTGCTGGTTCATGACCCCCCTGAGGACATGTCTGAAGGGCGTGTGAGGACAGAGAAGGAGACTTTACTGCAGAAACAAGGGCCCAAATGTTAACTCGGGGGGTCTCTGAAGATTTGGTCCTGAGACCACCCACGTCTCAATCTGTCTGGGGCTTGCCACGGAAGGGTGCGGGGTGGGGGTTCCACTCCCGTGAAGGAAGCTAGGAAACAGAAGTCTATTTCAATAGCATTTTTGGAGGATTTGGACAACTTCAGAAATCCCTAGACCTGCCCGTGGCCTCCCCCTGCTGGAGGACGGGTGGTACCGACGGGCCCCTTGGCCGGGGGCAGCCTCAGTGTGCACCCGTCACACCCCACCCTGCGTGTTCGTAGGGAAGCCAAGTTGACGAAAAGCAGCCTCGGTCTCCGGGCGACACGCCTCATCGTTGCAGAGGCGCTGCGCTCACCTCACTTGCGCCCTTGGCCCGAGTCTGCAAGCGCGTGTGGGCCCGGGAGCCCGGGGCACAGAGGTCAGGACAGTGAGGCGTTCCAGGCACAAATGTAAGGGGGCGGGGGGAGCCCCCATGAGCAGAGTCATCAAGATAAGTGCTATTTTAGTGCAATGTTAAAAAAATAATAATAAGTTGGCCAACTACAGCCTGCAGACCTGCTGATTGTTCATGTCAATAAAGTTTTATTGGAACCAGGGGCCGGGTTCAGGGTGCGGTGAGTGAGGCATCGTATCCAAACGCAAGCCTGCATCCTGCCTTTCTGTCACATCTCGGTATTGTGGTCCTTGTGGACTTTCCCCATCATTTATTTTGATTTTTTTTAATGCTGTATTAACACGTTGTTATGCATTTTGACTTCTAAGTTTTATGGAGCCTGCTGGAATTTTGTGCCCACTCACTTCAGCCTATTCAAATTTACAAAGGAGGTGGAGTTTTTTTGTTTTTTGTGTTTTTTAATGTGGATCATGCTCTCCCCGTTTATCTGAGCTGGAAGTCCTTTTATTGTTAAAGCCATGTCCTGTCTTGACGCTCGCCCCTGTCCTTTGCGGGACTAAATATCCCATCTACTTTCTCAATTCTGCTTTAGCCGTAACTCCACCAGGTCTTCCCAGGACCGGATTTGGCTGCCCTTCCTTTAAAGTGCACGTGCTCGGAAAGTTAGGGGTGCAGACATGCTGGGACATCCCTGGGGCACCCATCCCAAGGGGGGAGCAGGATGGATCCAGGGTCTGCATGGTCTGGTGGGTTGCAGTATCTGTAAACAGCATGTAAGGACTCTGAGCATGTGGCCTGAAGTGTCCTCTAAGACGGGTCCGGGACGTCACCTCTTTCTTGAAGGATGATGGGCGTGTGCACTGACCAGCTGTGCGGGAACGTGGTGCAGTACACATCCTGTGCAGCTGTACACAGCCCTGCCCTGGAAGGCGTGCACCTTGTAGAGACAGAGTGATGGGGACGGGGCCCCCAAGATGGCAACAGACGTGGACTCCTTCAAGGGGACTGGGCGAACGTTATATTTTGCCTTTATCTTCTCAAATAGTAACTCTCACTTGGGTGGTTATAAAGGCGAATGAGATCACGTCCCTGCAGAGGAGTTCCTTTAAATATCAGTTGTGACCAAAAAAGATAAAGTGACTCAATACATTTAAAATGTTCAAAACAATGTTCCCTTAACAAATGGAAAACAGTTTAAAAAAAAAAAGAAAGATAATAGTGCATTAAGATCTATCCACAGAGTTTCTCCCCCAGCTACGACATCTGTTTTTTTTTTAACACCTTTATGGGGGTGCGGTCCCTGTACAGTAAACTACACGCATTTCAGATGTACGATTTGATGAATTTTGATAGATCTAGACACCCACAAAAGCACCGCCACAATCAAGGTCCCGCTGTGACATCTTGCTTCCGATCTTCCCTTGCAGAACCAGAGACCGTCTGAGGTCTTCGAGACCCACGGGTCGCTTTGGGGACATCCCTGTGCAGACAAGAACCCCGATCGTCGCTCCCGTGGCAAGTTCCTTTCATTCTCGGTGTTACCCGCTGCCCTGAGAGTTTTCTGTCTTGTTTAAAACAGTTGTGCTGCCTAACGAAAAAAAAAATCCCTGATTCCTTGGACATATTGATGAAGAGACGTCAGACCACCGGACCTTGGGTCGTGAAAAGGTTCCTTGCTCTGTTGGTTCCATCATGAATCTGGACAGAGAGGTGCTGACACTGGTCTGAGCACCCAGACAATCTCACGGTGAAACCACAGGCAAGGGTGGGACCCCCTTGTCATTTTCACAAAGCTTGATGTCAACAGAATGGCCGGGGGTCTGCTCCTAAAAGATGCAGCATTCTGCTGGGATTTCCAATGAGCTTGGGCGAGAAGCTTGGCCGGTGGTAAGTTCTTCAAGTTACGTCAGAACTTCGGGTGCATTCAGCACGGCCGGTGAGGCGGGAGCCAAAGATTTCTGACACTAACGGCAGAATCTGAATGTCTCTTGATGTTCCCACGTGCTTGCACAGAAAAACTGTTATTTCCTGCACAAGATGAGGCTGGGTTTTTTTTTGGAATTTTAAGTGCAAAATCGCTGATGTGGAAACTGTCTTGGGAAGGCAGGCTTGGGGTACTTTTTCCTGCGAAATCATATAGTTTCAATGTATTTTTTTTTTGGAGGCCACGGGGAGAGAGCGATGTGCAGGCATTGACCCTTTCCTATAAGTTTTGGTCTTTGCTCCTCTGTGGGTACCGGTTGTCAAGGCGAGGGTGGTTCGTTCCTTGGCGTACACTTTCCTTTTTACTCATTTCCTCAAACATCTAAAAAGTATACCAGCTTTTTGCTTCTGTTTAAGTCACACTTTCGGGGAGAGGATAAATGCATAGTTTGGGCAGATGAGTGTCATTTCATTCAACTCAGGTTAATGCTAATAAAACTCTTAGACTTTCAATATCAGAACCAAAAAGGAAGATGTTCCTTGGGGTCTGGAAGCCTTAAAGAGGGTGCACGGAAACCCCAGGAATTGCACGCCTTGTGGGCTGCGAGCTAGGTCTCTGGAGAAAAGAGCTGGAAGCAGAACGTACTTGAAAGAGCGCCCCCCAGATCAGAAAGAACCTAAGAGTAATCATCTCAGCGAGACGTCTCGGAACGGCGTGCCGCCTCCCGTCCTGGATTCACGCAGATTGGAGCCGCTTGAGGAAGGCCGGCGGTTCCCTGCTTCGAAGCGGACCTGCTACCGCGGTTCCCAACCCTTGTCAAGCCTTCTCGTGCGTGAGGCTTCCAAACTCCACGTTTCCCGTGCGCGAGTTTCAGTGGGCGTGTAAGTTCACCCTTTGTTAAAAAGTGTGTGTGTCCGTGTGTGTACGCACACCGCACACAGAGTCACACACACGTATGCCTACACGGGATTCCAACATTTTTAAAGGTAACTCCGTACATTGCCTGTAATGGTCACAGACAACTTTTCGTCATTTAAAATACACGTAGGGGGGGAGAAATCGGCTTTGGTGGCTGTGTTCTGCTTTCTGTATCTGGCACGTGAAACTGGGGCAGGACTGACAGGGTCTTTTAAAAACCACGGTGCTATGTCGCTTGGTGTGCACCCGAGAAATCTCTTTCTAAGCGCTGTTGTGTGTCCCTTGGGTGATGTTGCTAAGGTGGTCCAGGCCCGGTTCCAGCGGACACAGATGGTGTTTGAGAGGCAGCAGGGCATCTGTCACCGGCCAAAGGAAGAAATGTTCTCTTCTGTGCCGTGCAGAACAGGATGGGGTATGAACATACAAAGAAAATCTAGTTAGAAGAGGCAGGGTGGACGTGAGCCCGATGACCAGAGGTAAGAGCAGGTAGCGTTCGACCCACTTGAAATATGAGTATGTGAATAATGACCCCTTCAGAAACCTGTCTCTAAGGTGTCGCCAGGACCGCCTGGGGGGCATGCTTCCCAAGCTGCAAAAACAGAAACCTCATCATTAGCTGCAGTCTCCCCTGCTGTTGAAAGAGAGCATTGTGGATGGTGCTTGGCACTTGCCGCCTCTTCCTGGGAGCCTGGATGTGTCTGGTGGTCAGTGTGTGGATATCCTTATGTTCCTACAGACTCTTAAAAAGAACACCCTTAACTCACTGACAGTGCTGGTGGGGATGTAAACTGGTTTAGCCACTATAGAAAACGGTGTGGCGTTGCCTTAAAAAATTGAAAATAGAGCTACCGTATGACCCAGCAATCCCACCCCTGGGCATGTATCTGGAGAAAACAATAATTCAAAAAAACACCTGCACCCCAGTGTTCACAGCAGCACTATTTACAGTAGCCAAGACATGGAAACAGCCTAAACGTTCATCCACAGATGACTGGATGAAGAAGCTGTGGTACATTTATGCAATGGAATACTACGCAGCCGTGAAAAAGAATAAAATCATGCCATTTGCAGCAGCATGGATGGACCTGGAGATGATTGTACTAAGTGAAGTAAGTCAGACAGAGAAAGACAAATACCATATGATATTGCTTATATGTGGAATCTAATAAAAAAATGAGACAATTGAACTTATTTACAAAACAGAAACAGACTCACAGACATAGAAAAGAAATGTATGGTTACCAGAGGGGAAAGGTAGTGGGGAGGGATAAACTGGGAGTTGGGATTTTCAGATATAATCTACTATATTACAAAATAGATTTTAAAAAGGGACCTACTGTGGAACACAGGGAACTATATTCAATGCCTTGTAATAACCTGTAACGGAAAAGAATCTGAAAAGGAATACCTATGTGTATTCTTTCAGGGTAATGGTTAAAAACCAGTAGTTCCTTCTGACAAGTACAAGTGTGATCTCCCTTACATGTGGCACCTAAAACAGACAAACTCATAAAAACACAGAGGAGCTTGGTGGTGGTTACCAGGGGCTGGTGCGGAGCGGGAAATGGGGAGATACTGGTCAAAGGGTACAAACTTCCGGCTGTAGGATGGACAAGTTCTGAGAGATCTAATTACAGCATGGTGATGGCCATTAGCCACGCTGGACTGCAAGCGTGGAACTTGCTAAGAGAGGAGGTTTTCCATATGCTCCCCGCGGAAACAAACGGTAAATTATGGGATGGGATGGAGGTGTTGGCTAACAATCTGATGGTAACATGTTGCAGTGTATATACGTATCAGATCACCACAGTGTATGCCTTAAACTTACACAATGTTGCATGTCCATAATATCTCAATAAAGCTGCGAAAAATAGCTCTTTTTGGGTTTTTTTTTTTTTTTGCTGCAAACATTTTTTTCCCTTGGATTCTGTACATGCATAGATGATCTTTTCAGTGCCTCCTGGCAAGATTTCCTTCTCCCGTTCTGTGGCAAACTCACTATAAATTTCATACTCTGTGAGAATTCATTTTGTATCCATGTGTGTGTGTGTATATATATATATTCGGGGGAGAAATGTTCCCTTAATGACCATATGTTTGTGCTGACGTCATAGAATCTGATTTTCACATTGTGTTTGCCTCTGGCTGTGCTGAAACTTGTTCATTTCAGAGACTTCATAGGATCTGCGTGGGCATCTGGTTTTTTTTTTTCTAAACCTTCTTTCAGATAATGTAGTGTCGATGTGGTGGCTTTTTCTGGCAGAGATCTTGAAGACTTGGCATGTAAATCAGTTTCTTCAGAACCCCTTATGATTCATGATTAAGATGGTCTCCGACATCGCAAGCATTTCATAGTTAAGGATCCAGCGAGCATCGTGGCATAATCTCTGCCTTCAGCAAAGGTTTTCTAACATCTTCTCTGCTTGTTGAATTCACTCACTCTTTCTTTGCCCCCTTTGGCTTCTTATAAAAGTTTTTTTTAATGCACTACTCCCCCTCCAAACACAGGAATTTTCATCCAAACCCTCTGTGTTTTTTATTCCTGTGTTATGTGAGACGATTATTATTATTATTTTTTTTTTAAATTGAAGTGCAGTCAGTTACAACGTGTCCATCTCCGGTGCACAGCACACTGTCCCAGTCATGCACATACATGCATACATTCATTTTCATATTCTTTTTCATTAAAGGTTATTACAAGATATTGAACATAGTTCCCTGTGCACTACAGAAGAAATGTTTTTTCAAAATACATTTTTATATATCATGACTAACATTTGTAAATGTCAAACTCCCAAATGTATCCGTTCCCACCCAGATTCATCCCTTCTCACACCCCTTCCCCAGTAGCCATAGACTTGTTGACTATGTCTGCCAGTCTGTTTCTGTTTTGTAGATGAGTCCATAGTGTCCTTTTTGTATTTTTTTTATTCCACATATGAGTGATCTCATATGGTATTTTTCTTTCTCTTTCTGGCTTACTTCACTTAGAATAATGATCTCCAGTTCCATCCACGTTGCTGCAAATGGCATTGTTTTATTATTAATATTTTTTTTATGAGAACTCCTTTCTATAGTAAACGATGTATTTCTTGAATCTCCATGTTTGGGAAACACAGCCCTGATGGCAATCACGCCTCCAACCCTGGCAGCGTGCACCTCGCCCCAAACGCACGTCAAGCTTTGAAAATTTCGTGAATCTCGTCAAATGACTTTTAAAAGAAAATATGTATTGATTCCTCTATTTTTTTTAACGGAGATACTGGGGATGGAGCCAGGAGCTCGTGCATGCTAAACGCAGGCTCTGCCGCTGAGCTGTACCCGCCCTCCTCTTCAAATGGCTCTCTGAGCACTTTGCAGGTTTTATTCCCAGCGGGTGGCGTTGGCGGCCACTTTGGGTCCTCCAGACACTTGTGGTGAGGAATTCCGTGCAGGGACGGTCCTGAGCCCCGGTCTCGCTGTTCCCTGGGCACGGCCATGAAAGATCCATGTCCTCGGTGTCTTGTGTCTAAGCCCGCGACACTCCGATGACACATCTGCTCCGAGCGCTCGCGGCCTCGTTGGTTCCAAACACGGCGTGGACAGTGACCCTGCAGACGGTAAGTGAGAGGCTCTGCAGCTCTGGGAGGATTGGGGTCAAGGCGGTAGTTGCTTCTGGTGTCCATCAAATGCTGTCGTCTTGGCGCAACTAAGAGCGTTGTGTTTGACGTGTTGCCCTCCCGAAAGCCTTCAGATCTTTGTTCTGTGCAGAAGGGGTGTCGTGTGGTGCATGGATTTGTATCTCGTGCAATAACTTTTTAGTGCAAAGGAGACCTTGGGAGCACGGAGGAAAACATTACTAGGATACAGAATTCCCTGTGTTGTGTTTCTAAGGACTTTTGTGAACACGGGAAAAAACATACATATCTAGATTCTAAATTCTTTTCCTATTTTTTCCCTTTTTTTTCGGGGGAGGTAATGAATTAGGCTTACTTATTAATTTTTCTAATGGATGTAGTGAGAAACGAGGACCTCGTGCATGCTAAGAATGCGCTCTGCCACTGAGCTATCTGTTCCCCCAGACTCTGTGGAAACAGAAATGTCTTTTCCTTAAGGGGAGTTAAGCTTCAGAACTTTCATTTTTTGGGGTACATTATTCTTGGGTCTGTAGTCTTAGAAATCTTTTAGAACAAACTGCACAACAATTTCACTAATTCAGTGAACAATAGAGGGCGTATTGGAAATTAGTTTTCTCCAAGTTGACACGGAAGTTCTGAAAACTGTGCAAAGCAGACACAGAGCTCCGATTCACACGTTCCCCAAGGATGTTTTGGAATTAGATTTTCTGACACCACCTAGGCCCGTAATCACGTCATATTAATTAAGTTAGTTAAATCATGTTCCATTTCATTTTTAGAAATAAACATTTTCAGCTTGACACAGGAGAATGACTGATTACATCATCAGGCCATTGATAACTCTATCAAGGAGGCGTGATGTCGAAAGTTCACAAAATAAATGATGTTCTGATTAGAAACACCGAGTGAGCGTGGGAGCAACCGTAATGACAGACGCAGAAGTACAACATACACATTCTATTTTAATAGGAAGACATGGAAAAAAATCTTAAAAATTTATTTTTATTTATTTATTTTGGAGGGGAGGTAATTAGGTCTATTTATTTATTTTCATGGAGGGACTGGGGATGGAACCCAGGACCTCATGTGCGCTAAGCACACGGTCTACCCCTGAGCCCCGTGCACATCCCGTTCCGACGGGATTATGCGTCCAGAAAAGGTCGCCATGTTTTAAGTGGTTTGTCACATAAAGGTTAGTCTTGGTGGGATTATCCGTGCCTTTTCTTTTTTTTTTAGCAACACAGGGTCCTCTGACACAACTTCTGTCTGAGCCACGGAGGAGCCCAGGTTTGTTGGCGAGAGGCCGGCGAGATTTCCTGGGAAACACAGAGAAGATACTGGGAGGGGAAAAGTGAGGAAGAGGATCAAGGCACCCAGGGTCCAGTCCCGTCTGGCCAACACCTACTTGCAGGTCAGACTCCTAAGCAATGGCATCAGCCTGTCTGATTTCACCCCCAGCGCGGTTCTAGCTCCTGGTGTTGAAGCCTTTGGGTGATGTGGGTTGGCCCCCGCCCTGACTCCCATCTTCCTAAGCGAGGCACGTGCCCTGAGGTTCCAAATATAAATGCAACGCACTCCCCAGGAGGCAGCCAGCTCCCAGCACATCTGTGCTTCGCAGCTGTCTCCCTCCGCATCCGGGCCCCCCCACGCCTTCTCAGACACGTGCGTGCCCCAAACAGCTGCTCGTCTATGAATAGCTGGGGATCTGGTGTACCATCCGGGGAAGGACAGGCCGTGTCCCACGTGCCCCTCAACTGAAAATGAAACCAGCCCTTGGACCTGACAAACATGGGACATCTTGCCCCTGGGGTTGGGGGCCCAGCCAAACCGGGGCTGGCGGAGGGAGGGCTGGGAGTAAAACGTCACCTTTGGCTGTAGACCAAAGAGGAGCTGGGGAAGTGGGACCAGTCCAATCCCAGCCCCGTCTCCCACCGCGGGCACTCCCTCCTTCGCCCACCTCCTCTGCTGCGTGGCTGTGTCCGGAACTCCTGGAACAGTGGCCAGCATGCAGCAGGTGCTTAATAACTGTGTATGCCATCAGCACGTGCAGGACTGAAAGAGTGACTCCCTGTGAGGCAGCTCAAGCTGCCATCCTGGAACACCACCAACTAAGGGGGAATTTAGCAACAGAAACACTTGTTTCTCACGGTGCTGGGGGCTGGGAGTCCGAGCTCCCGGCGTGGGCAGGTTAGTTCCCGGTGGGGCTCCCTTCCTGGTTTGTAGGCAGCTGCATATTCGCTGTGTCCTCACCTGGTGCAGAGAGAGAGAGAGTCAGCTCTGGTATCTCCTCCTCTTCTTCTAAGGGCACTAAAGCCACCCCGGGGGGGCCCACCCTCCTGGCCTCACCTCACCCTGAGCACCTCCCAAAGCTTCCACTGGGGGGGAAGTAATACTGCTTTTCTCCTCTCTCCAAATTTTTGTTTGGGAAAATATACTTGTTTTTCTGTAAAAATATGTCATGTATATCAAATGGAATGGGTTTATATGGTTACCGTTATTTTAAAATTTTTAAATGAATAAATGTAGCTGAAATTTACAGTGTTGATTTCTAGTAGAGAAAATATGGATATTTATAAATAAATACCTAACGTTTTCAGTTTTAATTGCTAACAGAGAAAATAAGGAATATTTATAAATGAATACCTAAAACTTTCAGTTTTAACTGCTGATACAGAAAATATGGGTATTTATAACCTACATAAACCAAAGCTCCTTCTTCATTAATTTTTCTGAGTGCCAAGGATTCTTAGGACCAGACTGAGAATTTCTGATGGACGAGATAAATTTGGATGCTTTTATGCTGAAGTAACAGAAAGCCCACATGAACATGGCTAAAACTGTAAAGATAATGTCTCGTAAGAGGACCTACTGAGGCTGGAGGCATCTGGATTGGGGGTCATTTGAGGGTTTAATGATGTTGTCTCGCGGCCAGTTTCCTTGTGTCTTGTGACCCTGCCCTTGGCAGGACATTAATCAATGTCACTCGTGGCAGAAGATGGCTGCTGTAGCTCCAGCCATTGCAGCCTCACCTTCTAATATCTGGAGGCCCAATTAAGACCAATTCCTCCCTGCTTTCCTCTTTTAAGACTGAAGACCTCCTTCCAGAAGCCACCAGCTGACCCCTCATTCCTCACTAACACTCAATCCCTCACTAAAATTGGGATGTATAAATCCTGGAGGAATAGCTCAGCTCTGTTAACAGGAAGTGAGAGAAAAACTGTGGGAGAGTGATAACCAGTCATATGGGCTGTCAATGCTTTGCTTATTTCTGCATCCAGTTGTTTGCACTTGTAGTTCTTTACATCTTACTAGGTTTAATCTGTAAATATAAAATATGGATACATAATTGCAATTGTGATGAACACATATATGTATGTATGTATTTACACTGCAAACTTTTTTTTTCCCTATTCTTTTATTTATCTTTCCAGGTAATTCATAGGGCCTTTGTCACAAAAACTTGTCAAGCAACTCCACCTGGTTGGCGTCTTTTTGTAGCTTCGGGGCTTGAAATATTTCCCCCTAAAGGTTTCTGTAAGTTTCCAGCAGTATCTTGTCTGGTGTATAAATGAAAGACTGCTTTTCTCCGAGTGGCTCCCTGGGAGCATGCAGGCTCACTTTTGCAATTGGCAAAAAACGCCTTTTCTCAGGCCCCGGGAGGAGAGCTGGCCTTCTGCGGGATGCCCCCACGGGCTTCCTGGAGACCGACACACACAGGAACCCAGCAATGCCCATGGCAGGATGCCGGCTCTGGGTTTCGAAACGGACCTACGCTTTGCCCAGGGATCGGGGAGGATTGCCTGGGACTTAACTGCCTTGTGACCTGCTTTCCAAGCTCAAATGCAGAGCAGGAAGGGGTGAGCGGGAGGGGTAGGGGATGGCGTAGCACCTATGGAAGTTGGTGCCAGGAGACTGAGGTGCCCTGCCTGGGCGTCCTCAACCTCCTCTTTCAACATCTCTGCAGTTTCCCCCAGCTCCTCTCTCTGGCTGCCACCTGCTCCCCGCCCTCTGTAGCCTGAGTCCAGCTGGCACTTCCCATCCACGCCCAAGTGTCAGCAATCAGAGGCATGCCTGTGAAGCTTGAGGCTGTATCGTGGGGGTTGGTGGGGAGCTGGGGTATGGCCCCCATATTCGGTTTTCTGATTCCGGGGGGTCTAAAGAGACCTGAGGATGTGCGTTTCTCAGAACTTCCCAGGAGATGCTGATGCCACGGGTCCAGGGCCAACCCAGGGCTCACTAGGGAAGCAGAATACGGGGAGTGGGGTGGTGATGGGGGCTCGGAGCCAAACACAGCTCGAGGGGACGGGCTTGGCTGGGTGGGAGGGAGGAGATACGTGCTTCTTCCAACCCTATCAAATACCTGGTCCTATTTACCAGTCTCCTGAGAGAAGATTGAAGGAATCTGCCTTCTCAATTTCTGGGTTTCAACGTGATGTCGAAGGTGCTCATTTTCTGCCCAATCCCAGCAAGGATGTTCCATTAACACCAAACCCCCAACCAAACCTGGAACGGAGCTGCTGAACGGTCCCATCCCCTCGGGGCCAAAGAAAGCCCCTCCATCCTCAGCTGGTGTCTCTGCTTCGGGTGTCTTAAATGGCTCTGGGCCCGTCTGTGTCAGGACACTAAAAAGGTCTCTGGTATCGGTTCCCTGCTAAGGCTGACGGCTTCGGACAAGGCTATCTCTTTGTTTTGTTTTATTTAAAAAATTTTTTTAAACTGAAGTAGAGTCAGTTTATAATGTATCAGTTTCTGGTGTGCATCATAACGTTTAGTCATACATGTACATACGTATATTCCTTTTCGTATTTGTTCTCCTTAAAGGTTATTACATGGTATTGAATATACTTTCCTGTGCTCTACAGTAGGACCTTGTTATTTATCTGTGTAGTATATAGTCGTGCATATCTGTTCATCCCCAAGTCCCAATTTATCCTTTTCCCCTTTGGTAACTGTAAGTTTGCTTTCTATGTCTGTGAGTCTGTTTCTGTTTTGTAACTTTTTTTTTTAAAGATTCCACATATAAGTGATATCTCATGGTATTTTTCTTTCTCTTTCTGGCTTATTTCACTTAAAATGACGATCCGCAGGTCCATCCATGTTGCTGCAAATGGCATTATTTCACCCTTTTTATGGCTGAGTAGTATTCCATTGTATATATATACCACATTTTCATCCAGTCATCTGTCACTGGACACTTAGGATCCTAATGGGGTTTAGTGTTGGCGGTGTCCTCTTAGCCGTTTAAAAATTTCTTCTGTCACTTCTCAAGCCTGAATTGGGTCAGTGTGAGATGTGGAATCCTGTGCGGGGGTTCCCCAAGATTGAGAGGTCTGAGTGGGGCCAAAACGGTTTTCATAATGATGTGAAGAACTCGTTGGTGTTTTTTTTAAACTGTGTTGAGGTTGGCACGGGTGCACACCTGAGCTCTCTGGGACTCCTCCCCGCTGACTCCCCAGGTAGCATTTCCGCAGCAGGAAGCCCAGTTCCTGCAGAAGAGCAATGTCCTCACCTCCTGTCGGTCTATGTCCCCCAGACCCTTGATCACCCAGGAGAAGGTCCACCAGATGGGAGAGTCCGTGGTGTAACTGCTGCTTTCCCCGCCCCCTTATTCTTACATTCCCCTTTGGTCCCAGCCAGTGGTTGCCTCCTCCCTGAGGACTTCATCTGGCCGACTTCTCTCTCCCTCTACAACTCTCCATGGCTCACGTGGCTTCCACGGCAACTCGCCTACTCATGCATACATGCATCGGCACGGTCATCAATTGAATGAACCAGTCATGCAGGCATGCCTTCTCTTGCTCATGTATTCGTTCATGCATCTCACTCGTTCCCATTCATTGCTTCCTAGGTTCCCGTCTCCCCTCCCTCAAGCCCGTATTCGCATAGCCACCTCCCTGGTCACTCGTCCATCCGTGCATTTATGCCGCATTCACTCACCCACGCACGCCTTCATTCATTCATTCATTCATTCGCGCGGTCACGCATGCACGCGTCAATCCGCAGGCACCCATGCGCGTTTCATGCCGTCCTCGTTGCACGCGCGGACCCCTCCCTTGGGTCTTCTGTGGACCCGCTCACCCAGGCGCCCACACACTCACGCGCGCACCCCTCCGCGCGCTCCCTCGTTGGCTGGCGCCTCTCGTCACAGCCGAGGGGCCGCCCCGAGGTTTAGCGCCAGCCCCCCGCTCCGGCCCCCGCGCCGGCCGCGCCCCCGCCTCGGCTCGCCTGCCTCCGGGGAGACCA